ACTGTTCTTTTCAAAGGCTGTCCAGAAAAGCGCTAGATACCACAGTAAATAACCTCAAAATTGAGCTGCATTAAGTTTTTACTTGGCTGTGCATAAGCAGTGCTTTTGGCTGATATATGTCGACAATCTAATTTTGCTTTATCTGAAAAGAATCACGTTTTTTCCCGTTTATTTTTTATGCTATAATTTCGCAAAATCATCACTCGTTTTTTAGTAAAACAGATTTGATTTTCTGCTTTTTGCATGTTTAACTACGCTTATTATAATCAGCTTGCATAAAGCTAACCATTATTGCAGTTTGATTTCGCGGACATAATGGTTTATCAAGCGATTCATACCATCGAATTTGCACTGGGCTGCATTTCGCATACCGCTTCATATCTCCGACTTTGGGCACTCTCGCTTGCACATGCTCGTAAGTTCAAAATATTTCTTAAGCTCTTACAAATCCTTCATCACACTGGCGTTATTAGGTGTTTATTCGGCAATTCCTAAGAACTCGGCTCGGCCGCGCAAAATGCACTCGTTTATGAATTTGTGGAGAGGAGCGGGGGCTGTAAAAATCATAAGTATTCTTAATTTTTCCTAATTTCTTAGTGTTTCTAATTGATCATAAAGTACTTAAAGTTCTTAAGTATTCTTAATTTTTGCTTCGATGAGGTTTTGAAATTATGATCGAGTTTGTTGGCCTTAACTCAGCATATGATTTCTTAGCATCATAAATCCGTAGAGTACATAATCCCTACGCTGTCTCTCTCCAATTCCTACTTCCGTGTAAGAATTTAGCTCCTTTTTAGTCAACTTATTTCAATCCCCTCTCTTTTGTTACGACTTCTGCGGCTTAAACCCAACAGGTCCAGCCCCTTAATGAGGGAGGAGAGGTAAATCAAGGCCTCTCCACCCTCATTAAGGCGCTGGGCCTGTTGAGGTAAACCAAGGGGGCATACGGACCTCTGGACGCCCGAGGAGGTGGAGACCCTTAAAACCAGTACTACCGGTTAATAAAATGGCAGGAAGTCGCTTCCGTCTTCTCCCCACTCCCTCCCCTAGCAACCTACTTTCTAGGTGTTTCAGAAATTTTAAAGATACAAACAATGAACATCTCTGGCTAGAAAATTGGAAGAGGACGGGGGTCTGAAATCTTCTGTTTATTAGCATCTGCAGTTTGTTTGGCGCTGTCTAACCCACCCCGCCATCCGAAAAGTGCACAGTACAATTACCGCACATGGTCCTCAGCTTGATGAAGCTGAACCGAGTTTTAGAAATTACTTATTATTTCGCTGTTGTAAAAAAATTTTGTCAATTTTCACAGAATTATCGGATGTTTTATGGACAATGGTTTTCCGACAAGCGTTCATGTTAAGCGGTTATGTGGGCGCTGTGGCCACTTATGTCCTCTTCTTCGTCTTCGCTTTTCTTTCATTTTCCATTCTTGTTCTTATGGAAGGTCTCAGCGCTTTTCTACATGCACTTCGTCTGCACTGGTATGTTTTTAATTGTTTTTTTTTTTTACGCGAAAAATTTGGG